AAAACTGGAGTGGTGGGCAGAGAAACCTCCTTTCCTACTCCCTGCAGACATCTGGTGCCAAGCATATGGCATTGTGCCCAAGTTACTGAGTGGACACCATTTGGTGCCTTTCTGGCAGAAGAGCCTGAACTCAACTTGGGAGCATCAACAGAGAGCTGGCTCTTTGTTGGGTGTGTCTAGGTGCTAGGTACACACAGCTCTGAGGCAACATGCAGGGCTTTGGGCAACCCTGGCTCGTTCCCAGTGCATCCTCTGTATTTCTCTCTGGACTTCTGGGGCAGCTGCTGAATCATCATGAGTTTTCTGGCAAACCTGAGTTTACACACACACACACAGGCAGCCCCTACCATCACTTCCTACACTCCTCACAGGTCCTACTCCACCTCCTGTGCTGGGCAGATGAATTTCTACACGGTCTCTTCTCACCACCACATCCCTCTACAAGAGCGTTTGCCTCACATTTATCAGGCCCACCTTACCAATGACCAACAAAGTCATTTATTTTGTATTTATAGTCAGATTTATCTTGCTTTGTTCTCTCCAAAGACACCCTAATTGAAAGGAGAAGAGAGCACCAGCAACAAATCTGCTGCTGACAACTAGCAAGCAATGGGTTTGTGCTTTCCATGGAGGTTTATTAGATAGCTGAGGAAAAAGATCCCTCGATGAATGGTCTCCAGTTCTCAGCCTTCATCTTCTAAGGCTTGTCTTTTTTCTTCCCATACTTGTCCACCAACGCTTTCTGCAAATTCCGATCTAGGGCATTTTTCTGATGCCACTTCCCTGCAAAGAAGGCAAATCATATTTCAGTTGCAGCCTCCCTTCTAATGCTATTATTCTTCAAGGATTTTTCTAGCCGTAGAGCTCCTCTCTTGCAAAAATGCCAATTTCTACTGCCCAAACCCATCCATTGTCCTCAGCAGAAGTGGCAACCATCTCATGAATTCAGGAAACATGCTTTTCCTGGCAAAAGCCCATACCTATCTGATCAGTCTTCCTCCCGTGCCAATTCTTGGGATCTCTGACTGCCTTCTGAAATACATCAGGGGTGTAGGAATCTTTGATCAAGCTTCGGCTCTCCAGGGGGCCACCTGCAAAGGAACAGCAAATAAGGAATGGCCCCCAGAAATCACCCTACAGCCCTGGAACTGAGCAGTTCCAACAAGTTCCAAGTTGCCAATTTATCTGCTTTTCATCCTCGAGTATGACACACACACAGAGGGTGCTGCAAGGTATCATCTTGATCTGTAAAATGCCCTTTCTTTAGTCAAGTGCCCACTTGTCTCCTGTTGAATCCCTTCAATCATGTGAGTAGCTTCCTATTCAGCAGCACAGCTCCACAAAAAGCACCATCCTACCACTCCCGGCCTTCTAGAGCTCCTGTTCTGCCACAATACTTAACAAATAGTTCCCAACTGTGACTTGTCTTTTTATCCCCTCTTGACTTTTAGCCACTTGAGGGGGATTTTATTTTAAATTTCTCATCCTTTTCTTCTTTTTTATTATACCCTTTCTTTGATAATAATGATTTTGACCTCCCTGAGGAAAGATGTGCTTCCTTTCTGTGGGACTGCACAAACCCAGGACAATTCAGTCTTCAATAGCCAGCAAGGTCTTGCCATGGAATGTCCTGGATAAGGAAGAGGAACCTTCCTCATGCTAGTACATGAGAAACGGGGATCAGAGACAATTATTTCAGAGCTTCTTGGCTATGATGGTAACAAGAATGGGATGCATGCTTAGTTCCCATTATTTGTTTAGATGGAGGGAACACTGGGGACCTTGGAAAGAGGTTTGGGGAAGACATTTCAGGGCCCTACATCTCTAAAGGTGTTAAAGAGAAGTAATATCAGTATTGGAACTGGAGGCAACTTGGGACTGGAGATGACAAGGGACACTGAACTGCACAGTGTCCATTTGGACATCTCTGAACATGGAGGACAGAGGTCATGGCACACCTCCGTTTTGGACACTTTGGAAAGAAAAAAGAGGTAAAGAAGATAAAAGAAAGGGATAGAATACATAGAAAGGGAGGCTCTAGCTTTTGTTTCCTCAAGCATCACAGCCTGGGAAGGCAGTGACTGTGGACAGAAAGAAGAAGAGAGGAAAGTGAGAGTTCCCTGCACTCAGATCTCCACCCAAAGCAGCGTGGCTGCCCTGAGCTCAGACAAAGGGTAGAGAGAACCAGCACTGAAGATCAGGCACAGGTACGTGCGTCTCCTCACCCTGGAAGATATTTGATCTCAAGTTAAAACCCAGCTGGTTGTAGTCAGTAAAAAATGCAGAGTTCAAGGGTTTTTTGAGCATTTCACTATGGTTGCTGAGTCTTTTCTGTCCCTTGATTAATGCTGCCTTGCATGGAGCTCGCAGTTCCTGAAAACACAGACAAGAAACCACTGTCAGGCCACGATCCCCAAGTGCAGCAAACTCCTGGCACTGCCACCCCTGCAGAGGTTTGCTCTCTGTAACTGCATGGGACAACTAGGCCTGGTAAAAAGGGGGAGAATTAGAAAGGGATGATGGTACGGGGCCCCAGATTGGATCCTGGTACCACATTCTTTTGCCTTGCTGAACTGGGACTCTGCCTGGCTAGAGAAATCTTATAAAAGAAAGAGGAATGGAAAATGAAAATTCAAAAAAGCCATGGGAAAGGCTGTCTATGGATTGTGTCACAGCTCTGTAGTGAGAAGCCCAAATCCACCCCTCCCCATGTTTTCTAGAAATTCCTAATATACTGCTAGTATCACACCCCCTCAGCCCCCTGATACACCACAAAAACACCCTTCAACCTGGCACAAAGGAGACACAAAATGGTTTTCTTCAGTACCTCTTCATTGCTGGCAGGTTCATCTGCATGGGCAAATTTATATTTGCTGTTAGCACAGCTCACTCAGAGAGGTACAGGCATGAAAGGAGGGAGGGAACGACACACAAGCTGTGCTGCAAAGCTAGCTCTGAAGGAGGGGCAGTTTCTCTGCCAGCTTGCTTACCTGAAGAACTGTTGGCCAGCACAGAGTCCCCTTCTGCCACATCAGCTGTAGGGGAAGTTGGAACCTCTAGTGTCCCCTTGGAAGAGAAACAAAGGCTGTGTCAGACCCAGCAATGGGAAGGAAGGGGACAGTGTCCCTGCTCATCTTTAGATGATGTAGATTATTCTTGCACAAATGTATCATACACCTTCCCAGATCAAGAAAGAGCTGTGCCCACCTGCCTGCATGGTTCCTCCTCCAACCCATGGTCCTCTCAGGTTAAAAAAGCTCAGAACTCCTGCAGGATTTCACATTAACAGCTCACATAGGGCAGCCTGCCTAGGACATGGCCAACCAGTGCCTCTGGGGAACACTGAGCTGCAAGAATTTTCACAGGTAGTGGTGCAGACACAAGCCAAAAAGGAAAAAGAAACCTCAAGGAAACTGTCATTTTTCATCCTGAAGCACCTGGAGATGCCAGACCTGTGATGTGCTGTACAACAATAGAATGAAGAGCCCAGCTGATGGGGCAGAGAGCCTACTGCTTCAAAGTTAATCCACCAGGGCTGATTTGAACCAGCAGCTTGTGTTTTACACTAAGCCAATCCTTTGGTGTAACACTGGAATCCTGAAGCTGAGGTTACTGTGTCCATCAGACTGCAGGAGTCAGTGCTGAGTGCTCTGCAGATGAAGTAAGACACAGAAACTCTCCCACAAAAAAAGAATAAGGCCACAAGAGGTGAAGAGAGGAAGCCAGTCTTGGCCCCCAAGGCACCATCTGCTTGTTTTCTGGATCACTGTTTTGTTCTTTTTAAAGAAAAGCCAAACATTTACACATGATCAAAGTGCAGGAATCTGTGTTGCTAAATAAACTGCTGTGTTAACTCCTACCTCCCACTTCAAACAGAGCCATGTCTGTTATTATTACTATACTCAGTGGAAAAATTCCTTTCTCATTTCTTCCAGCAAAGCAGAATTTTCATGGAATGAGGCAAGGTGCTAATTTCCCAAACCCCATTCATTGCTAACTTTAATTTCCCTACTTCCTTCTCAATAAAATGAGGCTGAAGCCTGCAACTGTTCTTACTTTCTAGTCTGTAACTGTATAGGATGTTACTGTTATTGCTTATTGCTCGTTTTTACTTCTGAACAAGAAGACTCAGACTCTTCTGGACTTAACAAGACTCAACAAGAGGCAAAGCCTCTTCCATAACCACCTCTCTCATCTGGTCCATGATCCCTGATGTGATGCCACAGGGTTTCATACAAGCACACAGGTCCTGCTGGAGTCCAGGTATGGAGGTGGAACGGAGCCTGAAGAGCAGAAACGGTTGCAAGGGACAACCCTCCCTCTATCTATGAGCTGTGGTCTCCACGGGAACCAGAAGACACATGGCAGAGGTCAGGGTCACGCTTGCTGATTGAAACAACAAACAAGGAGGATAGTGAAACTCTCGTGTCTCATGAGATACCTGTGCCCAGGAGCTGTCATACCATACACAGGATTTCTTGGACCATATTTCAGCAGAACTTGGTCTTCTAGCATCTCCAAATGCTTCATGTGAGCTCACTGACACCCACCAGAAAGGAAGGGGAAGGTGCCCCCATTTTCCACATGAGAAAAGGGGAGATGCTGGGCTGGAAAGAGGTCTTACACTGAGTCAACGACAGACGTACAGCCTGACCCTCCAGTGTCCAGCACCCAGTGCTATATTTTAGCCCCAGACTTTTAATCCATTCCACTCCACCACGGACCTGACCTCTCACCTGAGTGCAACTCTCCTTCCTGTTGCAAAGCTGCTTTTCCCACTCAGCACAAGCAGAGGCACAGAGGAGAATTAAAAATACTCAGAGAAGCATCATCTTAGAAGTCGATTTTATTCATTGTGAGAAACTGAAAGGTCTATAGAAATCTACTGACGATTCTTACAAAACCAGACAAAATATAAATCAGCATAGTTGATTTTTTTTATCACTTCCACTTCCTTTCCCTCTATCCTGGGTTGGAATAAAATGTTAGAAGTCATTGCCCAAGGAACAACTTTCCCTCTAGCCCTTGTTGCGCTTCACCTCGGAGACCTTGTAGCGCGGCGGTGCCCGGTGGAACCACTCTGACCAGGAGCCATCATAAACAGCCACGTCCCGTTTGCCACACAGGAAGGCTGCCAGGGCAATGTGACAGGCCGTGACACCTTTGCGGCACGTGGCCGTCAGGGGTTTGGAGAGGTCCACTTGCTTCTCACGGAAGATCTCCTGGATCTCCTCGATGCTCTTCTCGTGGCCGCTCTCCGTCAGGAAGGAGGGGAAGGGGATGTTCACAGAGCCAGGGATGTGACCAGACTCCAGCCCTGCACGAGGGAACAACAAAAGGCAACGTAGGGGATGGAAGCCACCTGTCCTGGTTCCGTGTAAAAAGGGGTTCAGGGCAGGACCCACACGGAACAGAACTATGTACTCGCCTCTCCCCCCCTGAGAGAAAGAGAGACACTGTGGAAAAAAAATGTATATTGTTCAACAAGGAACAGAAAACGAAAAAGGGAGGTAAGGAAAATAATATATACAAAGATGAGGGGAAAAATACAAAAAAAAAAAATATACAAAACCCTCAGAAATGGTTCCAGGGTCCCACGGAGTGAAAGGACAACCTCCCTCTCCGAGCTGCAGGGCAGGAGTGAAATTAGAACCCACTTCTTGCCTCTTATCAGAGTGTGTGTGGGAAGGGGAGGGAATACAATGGTTCACCCCCACCCGGGGTCCTCCCAGTTGCTGGAAGGTCACTCCCCCATTCCAAGCCTCAAACCACAACACCACCTATGAAAGGACATTCAAGAAGCATCACTGCAGACACTCCCACGCTCTCCAAGATTTGTTTCAGGCAATGATGCAGATGCAAAGCAGCACGGGGTTAAAAAGAAGAGGATAAAGGTGACCCAGCTTAGCTAAGTCAAAACTTCCAGAATATTTAGCAAACTGTTTCCTCTCTGAAAGCAATGACAGGTAGGAATCTAAAAAAGCCAAAGGAATCGCCATCAGGGGGAGGTGGGTTTGGGATTGGGTTTATATCTGTTTTTACGTAGTCCATTTTAGTATTATTTTCATGAAAGCTGTTTTAGTTTTCCAATCCATAAGTCCTTCTCACTTATCCCCTTTCTCTTCTCCTTTGGCAAGGGAGAGGGGCTAACAGAGAGCATCTGTCATTTGCCTAGAGAGCAGCCCAGCCCTAACCCTTGAGAGCAAAGCAACCTTAAAGTCAGCCACACTGAGGCAGCTGTCCTGGGGCAATGGGGGCAGAGAAGTGAGAATTTAGGTTTTGTATCACTTTTTGTTCACTCCACAGATGAAAGCAGGATGGGTTGTGGTTTTTCTGGTGGTAAGACTGATCACTTCAGGCAAGTTGAAAGCTGTGGCTCAAGAGCAAGGTCTTTAGAGAGAAGGAGATATAAAAATATGATGGATAAGATTTTCATCACAGCCTTGAAATCCAAACTCTGTGCCTATAGGTTTAATCAAAGAGGGAGAGACTGGGGCAAGGAACCCTTGTTACAGTCAAATAATTACAGTGTACCTAGTCAGAGACTGACCTCACACATCACCATGACACTGCTGATGCAGAGTGGTAAGAGTGATGCTGAGATATGTCATAATGGGAAAACATGATTTGGGCAGGGGATTGAGGAGGAGAATTTTGCTCTGCTGGCCAAAGAGTGAGAGTCCAAACAAAACCAAGGCTGCCCTGAGTCAGCTTCACAAGGTTTGTCTCTGTTCCACATGGACCTTGTCTCTTGATTCATCCTCCCCACGTGCCTCAGAAATCTGGCACTGTTGTCTACTAGTCAGCTCATGCATCCTCCAGAAGTGTTTAGCATTACAGGGAGAAGTCAGGAGAAAAACTGCTGACTTCTGGAGGAACTAACATTTAGGGGGAAGGAAAATAAAAAAAGGATGGTGTCTTGGACTGATGCTTTCATCACATTTTTTCCAGTTCCAGAAAATTCATCCTTTCAGCACAGAGAACTGCAAAACTTACACTCAATAACACAGCACCTGTATGACAGAGAGAGTGAGTGAAAAAAATACAATAAAGGAGTGTAAGAAAACCCTCTTTGTACTTGTCAGACTTCAGTTTATTACTGGAGAGAGTTACATGGAAGGGATTTCTGAAAGGCTCTGCTGCAGGACTGGTGATGACCCCAAAACCAACAAGTCTGGGAGCTGCAGAACAACGCTCTCACACCCTCCTAGGACACCAGGAAGTGTGGTGAGATCAAGAAGTTCTGGGGGCTGAACTAGAAGGGTCAGCTCCTGCTCAAAGAAGCTTGCTGGGCCACTGATTCTGTCCTTAGGTATTCCAGGCCCCATGGGTCATGGTTGCTTTTCTAGACTGTTCATATATCTTAAAACATCTAGGTTTGTACCCCTCTCTTACTGGAGTCTGCTGTGACACATGCTCATCACAACTCTTCTGTTAGGACCTGAGCACATCTGAAAAGAACAGGCTCGTTTTAGAGCATTTTTCACTTTGATCTACAGGGAGACTCCCTTGCTCCAGAGATTCCAAAGTCTGCTGGAGTCGGACACCAGTGCTTGTGCTCTGTGAGTGAAAGATGGGGAATTCTGTAGAAACTGCATTTACTCTTGTATGTGGGTGTTCAGCTGAAGGAAAGAGCTGACACTGCACCATCACAATCCCTTAGACAGCCTAAGAAGTGCTCTGGAGTGTTTGAGGAAGTTTTATCATCTCTCTCTGCCAGGAGAAGAGCAAAGAAGCACAGGACTGGAAGGCAAGGCTGGGTGCAGCTGGGATCTGGACTCAGGAGAGGATACATCTGCTCCTGCCTCACATGACACAGAGCATCCTCCAGGCCAGATCCATGCAGTCACCCTCAGAAAGTCCAGGGAGGAACCCTAGGACTGCAGAGCCCGGCTCCCAGCTGCTACAGTGATCACTTTTTCCACCTCAGAACCAGTTGGGATTCATGCCATGAAACTTCTTTGCTGATATGAGGAGAAATACTCATCTGCAACGTGTTGTTTGTCACAGCCAGTCCAGAGGCCATCTGTCCTTGAGCTAACATCACCCACAACAGTTTTTCTGTGGCAGTTTTGTGGCCAGAACAGTTTTTCTCCCTTTCTGCTATGGCTCCAACACCCTGATGGAGAGCACTTGGCACTCCCAACAGCCTCAGACCCTTGGCCTAAACCCAGTCACAGCTCATTAGCTGCACTTTTCACTGCCTTGGTACCCTAGAAACAGTTCTAGGTGATCACCAGCCTTAGAAGGAAGTGTCATTTCTTAGCACCTCAATTAGTAGGAGTTTAATAATTGCTGTTGTCAAGGCCAAATCCCATCTAAGGTTCTTGCACCCAACTAATTCATCCAAGATTTATCTTCTTGTATTGCTTCCAAATATGGGTCTCCAGCTTGTACGAGAAACACAAGGAATTAAGTGTTTTGGACTCCTAAGCATTCAACCCTGCTCCCTGTAGTGTTATACTTCTTGCCACTCCTACCCCTGAAAATGCTACCTCAAGGTGTTTTGAAAGCCTTCCAGTGGATCCATGTTATGATAACAGATCAACAACTTCAGGAAGTGTTTCTGTATTACAGAACCTTGCTCTGATTAAATTTATTAAACTCTTGCTTCACAGAGTTGCAATGTCACATGAATGATTTTTGACACGTATCTGGGGTAGAGATGGCTGCATCAGAGACTGGGGCAGATGGATATCCTTTGGTTACACTCCCTCTTCAGAAATGATCATTTCCACTTCTTTCCCCTTTTTCTAGCTCCCCCTCCCCCTGCTCTGCAGCTTTATCCTCAGGAGAAAAAAGGAACATGGTAGCACAGACTGAGTATAATTCTGAGGCTGCACACAAATAACCTTTCATCTGGAACCCCTGCTAACTGCATAGCAACCCTATTTACTCTTTCTCTCCTTGTTCTCTTTTTTATTCACTTTGCTCCAGCAGTTTTTGTTATTTGTTTTAATTCCTTTTGCCAAGCCTCACTCAGCTTGGCTTCTGGCAATCCTCCCTCACGATTTGTAACCTGTAGTAGGTTATCTTCTTCACTGCTTAATACCCTTTTCCACATCTGTTAAGACTCTCTGCTTAAATGCAAATTATTTTTTGTTGGCTGTTTATCCCTAGTGAAGGCTACAGCCCCCTTCTCTCTAACCTCCTCTTTTGCCATGAAAGCTCCAGATGGAATTTCTTACCGTCAAAAAGATAAAAGATGTGCCTTGACCACATTTAGCTCCCCATGGTTTTGGAGTTGGCTGGCTGCAGATAGCTGTTCCTTTCCAGATGCCTCCTCTGATGCCTCCTTTTTTTATCTCTCTGTTCCATTCAAATTTTCTCCTTGGAAGGAACGTTTTGAGCTTGATCCCGGCCAGCTCCCTGAGAGTCCTCAGAGTCAGATCAATAGGTCTTTGCCACTAATGTCAAAACACTGTGTACATATACTGCCAGAAGAGTCAGCTCTAAGAACCAGCAGGGCCCTGATGCCAATCCTGGCAGCTGATGTTTGCCATCCTCACTGCATGAATGGACAGCTTTGGACTGTAGGTTCCTGTGGGGTGAAAGACTTTGATAAAGTCTCTGCTTTCCATGTTGTGCCTTGAGCCTTCATGGTCAAGAGCCAGCTCACTCCCAGCTGCAGACTCCACTTGGAGAAGAGAGGGAAGGAGCAACGTCTCATTCTCCCACTACCACCAAACATCCACTATGAGCTTTATGTTTGGGGCAGGGAGGACCACGAGCTGGGAAAATGGACAAAACCTTAAGAGCTGTGTACGTGCAAGGGAAGCAAGGACTACCCAAGGGCAGAGAATGAGAAGAAAAATAGTTGGAAGCTCATGAACCCACTCTGGGTTGAATTTTTAGATGATGGATTCCTCGTCTGGCAATTTCCCCCTCTTTTCTCAGATGTCTGCAAAAGAATACATAAATTTGCAACTTTTCTGTATGCATTTGTTCAGCTGTAACTCTTGGTCCTCAGTTTGCAGTGCCCAGTACTCAGAGAGAGTCAGCACTGCTAATCATCATGTAATTATTTTTATCATGTACGTGAGCAAGCAGGCCCTGGCAGAACCTGGCTGGGGCTCTGCTGAATCACAGCTGGTGAGCAGGCTTGAGCTGCTGGTTCCTCCAAAAACACAGCACTGTGCAGAGACCTTTGACCACCCAGAGCACAGGCCAGTGCTGCACATCTGACATGTTTAAGGTGGTACACCACACATGGACATCCAAAATTTTCATCCAAGGCAATATCTGCATTTAAGATCTATGAGACCTGGCTTATAGAAACACTGTTTTCCTCTACCTTGGCCATCTGGGCAAACTTCTTCCAGCAACTAAAATTTAGCCATGTGTTATGGTTTATCTTTAACACTACAAAGGTCTAAATCCCAGCAAGGTAGCTGCTGCATAAAAATAAAACAGGGACAACTAATTCTTACCACAAGGAAGTGTAAAACTGAAGAGGCAAAGGAGTCAGCTGAAATTAGCCTCTTCTAAAGATGGAGTTCATGGAACTGGAGAGATTAATTGACTTAATTAGGAAGTCAAGAGCTGAAGCAATAATTAGACTGAAATCACCTGAGAACACAGCAAGTTCCTTAACCTCAAGACCATTCTTCTTCTCTAAATTGCAGGCGTTTCTCCTCCCTGACTGGATGATCCTTGTAATTAATCAGCATTGATTTCAAATTGCTCTTTTAGGTGGAAAAGCTGCTTTTTACTCACTGCTGGCTTCTGCAAAGCTACTGGCCAGCCTGGTTCAGGAGGCTGTCAAACTCCTGTGGAACGAGCAGCTGCAGCTGGAGTGCATATCCTGCTGGATCTGCTGTGGGAAGCAAAACTGGACCACCACAAATAAACTGTTCCACACTGACTCATTTCAAAGGAAAAATCTGTTTTCAAGACGCTGATGGGGCTGCAGGATTTGTCACCTGATGGCAACTCCCAATTTTGGAAAGATAATGCAAACTCCCCCAGAGAACAGTGTTTTATTCATGTCTTGAGGTTAAAATTCAGCCTTTGCTTTGATGGGCTGCAGTGGATGAAGAAACAGAATGAGTGATAAGCCTAAAATCCCTCTCCCTCCCTGCAAGTCTCCTCTGTCACTCCCATTACCTCTCTTACCTTCCACACAGGTCGAGTGTGTTTGGGACAGGGGTCTCACTGTAGACACTTAGGAGAACCATATCTACAGAGACATTTACAGCAAAACGCTCCGGAAGTCCTGGTTTTTACTTCAGGACACGACGTCACACTCAATGGCTATAGAGCAGCAAACAGCCAGAACAGGGTGACACGTGAAGCAGCCGTGCAGCCCTGTCTCAGGATGCAGAACCCTTCTTCACACCTGCTCCTGCAGCGTGGAGCTCAGCTCAGACCCAGCATTCGTTGCTCAGCTTTTCTGTCTTGTTTCTGAAACCCTGCACTTCTTTTTAAACCATGTCTCTGGTTCCCTTTTGGAGGAGAGGTTATTTTGGGATATACCAAGGCTTAAATTAGACAGTATGGGCTGCCGTTAACAAACAACTTGAATTTCATTCCAGGCACACTACTGTACCAGCTTTCCCCACTGCACAGGACTTCTCCCACCCCTGCTGCTTGCGTGTATTGCCTAAAACCTGGGCTTTTACCAGTGCATTCATTACGGTGAGAGGTGCCTGTAAGAATACTGATAGTTTGTGCATGTCTGCTACTGTTAGATAGGACCCTGAACAAACCCCTGGGAGCTCTCACCTCCTGTGTTTGCATTCTGTCCGATTAACTCCTGCAGGGTGTGGGATGGGGGATCCTGGAACCAACTGACTGTAGACCTTCTCTGCTATTTCCTCCTGCAGCTTTACAACCAACTAAAAGAAAAGCAGTGAGAACACTGGAATCCAAATGCTCAGCTGTGGCTCTCTTAAGGTAAATCCCTGAGTTAGGTTGAGGCGTGTCTGTGTATCAAGAAAATTTGTTTGCTGTTTGGGACAAGCTGTTCCACCTGGACTAGTATCAACACACAACCCACTCTGGTGCAGGGGGCTGGTGCCATTCCCATCTCCGTTACCTTGGTCCAGCTCGGTCCCTCGGAACCGGCCCTCGGGGCGGGAATCCACCACCTGGAACCGCAGGGTGCCCACATTCTGTATCATCTCCTCGAAGGTCTTCAGCAAGGCCCTGTTCAGCCTGGCCTTAAAGACGGCCGGGGCGGGCTGGCTGAGCTCTGCCGTGACAGGGTGACCCTCCTTCACCCAGTTCTTGAAGCCGCCGTTCAACACGGAGACCTCCTTGTGCCCAAAGGCTCGGAACATCCACCAGGCGCGGGGGGCGTAGAAGGTGCCCAGCTCGTCCCCGTCGTACACCACCACGTGGGTGTCGTTGCTGACCCCCAAGCGCCCCACATAGTCGGCAAAGTGGGACTCGCTGGGCAGCATGAAGTCGTAAGGGGAGGCCTGGTCCCGGCACTCCTCTATGTCAAAGAAGGATGCCCCAGGGATGTGCCTCTCCTTGAACTCCTGCCGGGCGTTCCGCTCCTTCG